GTTCCATATTCTGTTCTAACTTTTGCTTCCTAGTCATCACACAAATTCTTCAACTGGCAGATAAGGCAGCCCAGTATAGCCATGTTTTAAGAGCTATTCACAATTAGTTGTGGTCTGCAAAATCAAAAGCAGTTGTATAATCAATTTAACAAAATTTGACATCGGTTTGGAATTTGCCTTTTCCATTATCCACTGGATAGTAGCAATGTGTTCTCGGGTGCCCCTGCAGCTCCTGAATCCAGTTTGTACATCTAGTGGTTCTCATTCCATGTACTGTTGAAGCCTGGACTAATGAAATCTTAAGCATTAACTTACTAGCATATGAAACAGTGTTTTGAACTTTTTTTAAGCTCTGCTCTTCTTTTGTATCAGAATTTAAATGATCTTTTCTAGTCCCCTCGCCACTGCTATGATTCCATGAAGGATCAGGAAACAGAAATCCTGAAAAGAAGGTATGTCATTAGCACTATTAAAGTTAGCAAAATTAGAGCTATCATATCTGGGCTATAAAAATCATGACAGCCACTAGATGATATAACTTTGCTTCCATCTTGTGATGGTGAAGATTTCTGCAGTTCAAATATGGTAGCCCAAGACAAGATAACAGATTTAGTTACATGTATTGTTTTATCTTGGCTTACAATGGTGGTTAGCCATTCCAACCTGTGCATTTTCACAAATTACACTATTTATGAACACACGTGAATGTTCTTTGGAACTGCCTAAGGATAATTCTATTCAAATTCATATTTAGCTCTATGCTTACAAAGTCTCCTGCTCTACTGTGAACATTCTGCAGGAGCAGTGGTATCTCAAAAAAATAAAATAAACTGCAGATATTTGAACATTTTCCCACATTAAAAATTCTCTGCAAGTTAGTCAAACAAAACTGAGTCTCTCCCCAAATCTTTTAAATAAAAATGTTTTAGTTTGTTGCTGTTTTCAAACTGGAAATATTAAAAAATGTGAGCTTCCCATCTATAGTTTCAAGAGAAATAGTCACCTAAGAACTCTACAATTCAGAGCCAATGTTAAGGATTGGCAAAAGCTCTGAAATTTGGGTTGGGCATACTGAGAAGTTTAATTCCAAGTATAGATGAGCTCTCTTCCCATACATCTTCTCCATTTTGCCACGGAGACTCAGAACTTACTATAGTTGGCATCAGACAGTTTCTTATCACCACTGTCTCCTGTTGCTCAGCTTTCTTCTTCCTATGGGTGTTGCAGTGGTAAGCAGAACCTACTGAGATAAGGAACAAGAGAAAGTGGTGGCACTACTTTTTATCTCTCTGTCTGGGAGAAATGGCACATATTTATTAATTTCATTTATATACTTCCATATCTTGTGACCCTTGGAGATTAACAACAATTATAAGGTACAAAACATAAAAACATTAATAGTAAAATATTAAAAACATCAAGAAATTAAAATCACATAACATCACGATCTTGGCAGCATCATGCTAGCACCCAAAAGCTCTTCAGAATAATTTGGTTTTAACTAGTTTCCTGAAGGCTGTTACTGATGGAGGCCATCCAGACATTACAGGATGCACTAAATTGCTGAGAGAAAATACAAGCAAGTTGAGCATAGTTTGCTTTCCTAGAGCAGCCACTAGCATTTCATTGTTCATGCCACTCAGAGAACCATGCGATCAATCGCTCACCTCTTTCAAGAAGCTTGTTGCCGCAAAATCAGATTTTTGCAGCACCTTAAAAACTAACCAGCGTAATGGCTGTGTTCACAAAATACTCAGAGCAACAAACTAACCAAAAGCTAGTTTGGTTCCATCTCTTGTACAAAGCCCAAGAGATTACAGGTAGTCATGGGCTACAATAGCAATTGGGACCAGGATCGCTGTTGCTAAGTGATGTGGTCATAAAGCGCAACATCACATGACTGCATCACTTAGTGACAACAATCTCAGCAGTCCTGGTTGCCATTGTAACTCCAAGACACGCAAGTTGTTAAATGGGAAGTGGTGGGAGTCCCAGATAAGGAGAGTGGGTGTGCCATGGGGAGGACACTGGGAAAGGGGGATGGTGTGGTGTTGAGCAAGCACAGGAAGGCCGTGGGGTGGAGAGCACAGCACAGTGCATGCATAGGAAGGCCCGGAGATGGAGGGTGCGGTGCAGTGCAAATGTAGGAAAGCCGGTGGGGGGACTTACCAAAGCAACTTGCGACCTTTCCTGCTGGCTTCCTCATTAATTTTGCTTGTGGGAAACTGGCAGGGAAGGTCACAAATAGTGATCACATGACCATGGCTCCCTTTGATGTCAGATCACATTCACATGACTGCAGGGGTGCTGTAATGGCCAGAACTTCAAGGATTGGTAGTATGTCCATTTTTTCAGCACTGCTGTAACTTTGAATGGTCATTGAATGAATGTATGTAAGCCCAGAGCTATCTGTAATAACTCTTATGGTTCAGTATGTCAAGGCAGACACAGAGTACCTCTATTTCAAGAAATCCAGATACAATAAAACCTTGGTTTGTGAGCATAATTCGTTCTGGAAACATGCTTGTAATCCAAAACACTTGTATATCAAAGCGAATTTCCCCATAAGAAATCATGGAAACTCAGATGATTCGTTCCACAACCCAAAAATATTCATATAAAAATGATTATAATACTGTAATATAATACAAAATAATAAAGAAAATACAAAATATAAAGAAAAATAAAACAA